GCTACTAAACTAATATTAATACTAAGGTCTAAAGACAAAGGCCGACTGGTTCACTGTGAGGTGTTTGAGACTATAAACCTTGCACAGGAACCAGTTAGCTGCTGTTTACAGGATGGGGAGGAGGGGGGGGTAATGTGTTCCCTCAAATTCCTTATTTTGTTCCCTACAACTGTCCATATGATTACATTTCTAATCTGTTCCCCCAGATTGTGAAATTGTGCCCTCAAATCCCAATTTTTCATTAAAACTGCCATACCTTAAGTGACTCATTTGTTCCCTTAAGGGACTCATTTGTTCCCTTCATTTACTTTTTTTACATTGACTGATTTGTGCTCATTTTATCTGACTAAACCTTTCATTTGTTCCCTAATTTGTGCCATTATATATCTTCTTTCTCTCAAGTAGTGATGTGTTCCCTAAGGTTTGGGTAGGTGACCAATGCGTTACCTCAAGTTACCAATCCATCACATTTGTAATTTGTTCCCATAAATGGGCACATTACCACATATTCCAGATTTGGTTACCACTAATGGCTAATTTGTTCCCTTAAGAATGTTTTCCCTTAATTGTGTAATTAGTTTTATTCAGTAGTTCCCTGAAATTGCTAACTGCCCTACAATACTGTTTGTCTTTCAAATTCTGTTCCCTCAGATTACTTGTTTACTTAATTTATTAATTTATGCTTTTAAACTTAAATGAACAGAATTAAAATGTTGTGATTTAAATTCACAATTTGTGACAAATGTGTTCCCATAAATTACTAATTTGTTCCATTATATTTATAATCTGTTCCCTTAAGTTCTAATTTGGTCCTAAATAGATTCCTATTTTTTTTGTTGAAAATGTGTCATTTGTTCCCTCAACTGTTCCCTCCCATTGGTAATTTGTTTCCTTAAGTGTCCTATTTTATTATCTAAAATTTCATCAGCCCTAAATTAATATCTTGTTCCCTTAAGTGACAGTTACTGCACGATGGTATTAGTACTATTAATAATTATTTTGTGCCCTCGACTCTATTTTTTCTCATTACATTTCTACTTAACTTGTTCCCTTAAGTTCTTGTTGTTCCATCTAACCTACAAACTGTTCCCTAAATAGTTCTCTCATAACACCAAATACTTTTTGTTCCCTGAAATAAGTAAGTTGTTCCCTTACCCAACTAAAAGCATGTGATTTGATTCTTTCTTTTTCTCACATGTAATTTGCTGTTGTTATTTAACAAAATATACATTTTATAAGCTGCAGTTTCGTCTCTTGTGAAACAGAATTTTGTCGTCTACGATTCTCATAAAGTTCTCTGACCTGAACAAGGGCGTTTACACGATGACGGGTTGTCGGACTGAAAGACTCGTCCGTCTACCAACTCTTTACCATCCGACAAAGATAGTTTCGTACTGTGAATAGCTGAATGACAGCATTAATATGTTCTGATAGTTTTATATTTTTAGACGGGAATTAACACTTTAATGTGCTTTTTATATATTTTTATGATTTTGTTTTAATTTGTGAATTTAAAGTTGCTTTCTGTAATATTTAAATTGTAAAATATTACTATTATTTAAATGTTTTTCCACAATTATTATCTTCAGGTGATTATACGCTAAATAAAACAAACATGAATATTATATTACATTTCTGACAATAGAACCCAAAAAATATTACACACTGGACCTTTTTAATATGAAGAAAACATCAATTAATATATTAGATCAATAAATAAATGGACAAATGTTACAAGCATTGTTTTTTACTTGTTTTGTACGAGGAAGAGACGTTTTAAACTCCTCAAACACACTCAGATAACGAGTGTGTTTGAGGAGTTTTGTCATAGTTTGGACTCCGTACCTCATGACTGCAACTTCAGTCACGCTTGGAGCTGAAAACGTGATTGCCACCGTCTCACACTGATCGCACACACGTTGATGATGCGTTTCCTGTCGCCTCAGACACACTTTAAGGTGTAGGGGAAATTCTTCCATAATATTGAGAGTTGCTAGTTCTCTGAAGAATTACGAACCCGGTGTGATGAATCAAATTCCTTTACTTGTGCAGCGTGGAGGGAAAACCACAGCATAGACGTTCCACAAAGGTTCACAATAACACAGAAGACAACGAGGACTCCGTGTGTGTGTGTGTGTGTGTGTGTGTGTGTGTGTGTGTGTGTGTGTGTGTGTGTGTGTGTGTGTGTGTGTGTGTGTGTGTGTGTGTACGTTTTACTGGATTGAAATAATAAAAAGATAAAACAAATTTCTCCGCCTCCAGCCTGTTCTTCTCTGTCTGTCTTTGGACCATTTTGGGACATCTTGTTACATGAGGATGTTTTTTTTGAATCCTCGTCTGTTGTTTAATGTTCCTAATTTCATTGATTCCTTCACCCTTCTCCCTGTTATTGATCAGAATGACTGATTCATTGATAACTTTTCGTACTTTCAGGTCTGTTTGCTGCTCTCCGACAGACGGTTTGAATCAACATGTTTCTCACTGTCACAAACAAACCTTAAACTACACACACAAGCAGAATGTGACCTGTTGGGAGGTCTGCCAATCCCATCATGCACCTGAGAACACACACACACACACACACACAGTTAATCTATCCTATTAGCGAGCAGTCATTTGTCTCTGTTTCAGGGATTCCTGATGGGATTAACAGACACTTTTGATCCACCTCTCTCTCTGTTGTCTTTGTCCTGAGTTCCCGGTTCGTTCTCCATCGTCTTGGTTCTTATATTTGACTTTGGAAACCAGCTGCTGTGACCTTTGACCTCTTTTGGAGTCTTTTGCAGCCTGGAGATAAATTAAAGACAGATAATGTAAAGATTTGTGTTTCTTATTGTCTTCACTTTTGGGATTTTGCCGTTTTCTTCAAGAACATTTGGAGATGAAACTATAAAGACGTATTCACGTACAAACAGAAGGGTTAAATAAAACGAGAAGATGAAAAGAGACAAGACGAAGCTGGCGAGAAAACCATTAGTGAGAATACAACAGAAGCATCTACCGGGACGCGGCGTGACCGAGGCATGAGACTGGTATCACACACTTCTTCATCCGGACGACAAACATATCAACACGGCTGCAAGTAGGTCTGAAACACACACACACACACACACATTGTTTCTATTAAATTTAAGCCTCACAACATTTTATTTATTGTTGTTCATTTTTGTTTGTATGTGTTGTTTCAGTTTGTTATGTGAAGCATTGATGAAATGTAAAAAATGTAGATTTTACAGTAAAAAACTGTCAAACTACGTCAGTAAAAGACTGTAAACTCTAAAAAGGTTCAATGTGGTTTCTGTAACAGGAAAACACTGATATCTTACTGTTGATGCTAATAACTCCGACTTAAAATCAACAGTACTAATATCCTTTTAATGTAATCGTACCGTATTTATTACAGTAAAGTTCTGGGACTATAGTTGCCAGTTGTTTGTTTTTACAGTGTATGAAAAGAAATATAAGTTCTTGTTAGCAGTAAGCTACTTTAGCTGCTAACTGTAGCTACTGTAGCTGTAGGTATCGGGGCAGTGTCTGTTCAGTCTCTTGTACAGAAGAACTAAAGAGAAGCATAATACCTCTATATCTATATTTTAAAACAGAAACATTCAGATTTACAAAATGTATCATCCGGAAAAACACGAGAAAAACAAAAGGTGCTAATGTTAGCATGCCCATGTTTTTTGGACTCCAACATCCACGATGTGGGAGTCCATTTACTTCAGAAGTCCAAAGTCTGAGCTGGCGAATGACATCACACTGTAGATGGAAACCAAGCTCTAGCTAGGTTAGCCAGTAGCCATTGTTAGCAGTAGCAGTTGATAACTCTTCGTTCAGATACAAACCATCCACAGACCAAAGTGTGACACTACTGTATGGACTGTGTCTCAGACCGGAAACTTCCCGGTTCAAATGGATCTCACCATAAGTCCTGCATGCTGTCAGAGTTAAACTAACGTTAGCTGTCCTGCTTTGTATTGGATTTAATAGTAGCAGAGATAATGTTACATTACTGAACTCAGCTCATCCTGAAAGCCTTTTCTCTGTGTGCTCGCAGAGCTAACACGTCTGTAACCTGATTGGATTAGCCGTCCACCTGCCTGTGACCTGGACCAACGCCATGTGTTCAGGCCAACTGTCCCACTGACAGACCTTCAGTCTTTTGTTACGCAAAGGAACTCACAGATACAACTTACTGTCTTTTATTAGATATGGTCATCAAATGGCCATCAGTGATACTCACACTTCCTCCACGGACATTTCACAATAAAAGCCTAAAATAATTGGGCTGACTCTGGGTTCACTGTTTTATCTCTCCACCAATCGGCTCGCAGATGAGGTAACCATGGACGAGACCTGCGTCACGCTGGAGAACGGCGACTGCGAGGCGTTGCGGCAGACCAGTGACATCACCTTCAGCACAAACATAAGCCCCGCCCCCAGCCTGAGGAGGAAGCAGCTGCTGTGGCAAAACGCCGTCAGAAACATCATCGACCAGCACAACCTGTACTCGCTGCGGCTCGCCGGAGGCCTGGAGAGGGGGAGGCACCGCATCATCGTCACTGACGCCTACATCGCTGACATCAACAGGTAGAGTGAGGTCATCAGCAGGTACAGTGAGGTCATCAACAGTGAGTGAGGTCATCAACAGGTAGAGTGAGGTCATCAGCAGGTAGAGTGAGGTCATCAGCAGGTAGAGTGAGGTCATCAGCAGGTACAGTGAGGTCATCAACAGTGAGTGAGGTCATCAACAGGTAGAGTGAGGTCATCAGCAGGTAGAGTGAGGTCATCAGCAGGTAGAGTGAGGTCATCAACGGGTAGAGTGAGGTCATCAGCAGGTACAGTGAGGTCATCAGCGGGTAGAGTGAGGTCATCAGCAGGTAGAGTGAGGTCATTAACAGGTAGAGTGAGGTCATCGGCAGGTACAGTGAGGTCATCAACAGTGAGTGAGGTCATCAGCAGGTAGAGTGAGGTCATCAGCAAGTAGAGTGAGGTCATCAACGGGTAGAGTGAGGTCATCAACGGGTAGAGTGAGGTCATCAGCAGGTAGAGTGAGGTCATCAGCGGGTAGAGTGAGGTCATCAACGGGTAGAGTGAGGTCATCAGCAGGTAGAGTGAGGTCATCAGCGGGTAGAGTGAGGTCATCAGCAGGTAGAGTGAGGTCATCAACGGGTAGAGTGAGGTCATCAACGGGTAGAGTGAGGTCATCAGCAGGTAGAGTGAGGTCATCAACGGGTGGAGTGAGGTCATCAGCTGGTAGAGTGAGGTCATCAGCAAGTAGAGTGAGGTCATCAGCGGGTAGAGTGAGGTCATCAGCAGGTAGAGTGAGGTCATCAACGGGTAGAGTGAGGTCATCAGCAGGTAGAGTGAGGTCATCAGCAAGTAGAGTGAGGTCATCAGCGGGTAGAGTGAGGTCATCAGCAGGTAGAGTGAGGTCATCAACGGGTGGAGTGAGGTCATCAGCAGGTAGAGTGAGGTCATCAGCAAGTAGAGTGAGGTCATCAACGGGTAGAGTGAGGTCATCAGCAGGTACAGTGAGGTCATCAACAGGTAGAGTGAGGTCATCAGCAGGTAGAGTGAGGTCATCAGCAGGTAGAGTGAGGTCATTAACAGGTAGAGTGAGGTCATCAGCAGGTAGAGTGAGGTCATTAACAGGTAGAGTGAGGTCATTAACAGGTAGAGTGAGGTCATCAGCAGGTAGAGTGAGGTCATCAGCAGGTAGAGTGAGGTCATCAGCAGGTACAGTGAGGTCATCAACAAAAAATCTTTAAGTTAGATTAATTTAGTTCATTTTAATCTTAAATTAATTTACAATATAACTTAAATGAACAGGCAGATCCGCAATAAGGCATCTCGTGGAGCGCACTGGCAGAAGCGGCGCTCGTCGGCTGCTCGTATCCACCCGTCCATGCCGAGGATCACCGTGGCGGCGGACACAAAACACGACTCGCTCGGCGACGCCGACTTCTTCGTCTCCTGGGGGTCAACAGTGAGAGGAGTCTTCATCCCCGCACTGCAACACACATTCAAGTAAACTTAAACAAACTGCTTTTTATCAGCTAACGTCTGAGTGGCTAATGGTAGCTTCCAACTAGCTAACTGTAGCTAAGCTAATAACTGTCCTCAGGTCTCCAGACTTAGAGCAGCTCTACCAGCAGTTTTCATCTGGTCAGAGAAGAACCTCGCTGGTCGTCACCAACGTGATCGACATCGTCACCAGACTCTTCATCCTGTTGCTAACATGGCCGCCGGGCTGGTGGGGCGTGGCCTGTGATTGGCTGGCTGCCTTATCGGTCGTCCTGTGGGCGGGAATCTGCTTCCTGTCGCTGACCAAGAAGACGGTGATGTCGTCGCCGCAGTGGCTGAGGTATGCTGGGAAATGTAGTTGGTCTGCACCTGTCTGTCTATACCTGTCTGTCTGTTGTCTGTACCTGTCTGTCTGTCTGTCTCAGGTACCTGTCTGTGGTCAGCTGGCTGTCTCAGGCTCTGCAGGTGTTGGTGGGTGTGTTCAGTTGGGCGGAGAGCGATCACTCCTGGTACGTCTTCTTCTCTCTGTTCTCCACCTACACCCTGCTGCCCCTCCCCCTCCTCTGGTCCATCGTCGCCGGGGCAACCACCTCCTCCTTGCACCTGCTGCTGGATGTCTGCTGTCACTACGGCGACCACACCTTTTTCAGAAAGGTGAGAGCTCAAATATCACGCCACATTTCCCGCTATGATCGCGTGTGCTGGTCTGATCAAGTTTACCTGGTGTCACCTGGTGTCACCTGTTGTCACCTGTTGTCACCTGTTGTCACCTGTTGTCACCTGGTGTCACCTGGTGTTACCTGTTGTTACCTGGTGTCACCTGGTGTTACCTGGTCTTACCTGTTGTTACCTGGTGTCACCTGTTGTCACCTGTTGTTTCCCTGGTGTTACCTGTTTTAACCTGTTGTTACCTGGTGTCACCTGGTGTCACCTGGTGTCACCTGTTGTCACCTGTTGTCACCTGTTGTCTCCCTGGTGTTACCTGTTGTAACCTGTTGTTTCCCTGGTGTTACCTGTTTTAACCTGTTGTTACCTGGTGTCACCTGGTGTCAGCTGTTGTCACCTGTTGTCACCTGTTGTCACCTGTTGTCTCCCTGGTGTTACCTGTTGTTACCTGGTGTCACCTGGTGTCAGCTGGTGTCAGCTGGTGTCACCTGTTGTTACCTGTTGTTACCTGGTGTTACCTGGTGTTACCTGTCCAGGTGTTGTCGAAGGCGCTCTTGTACCTGGCCATGAACACCGCCGGTCTGTTCATTCACTACCTGTCAGACCGGACTCAGAGACAGGCCTTCCTGGAGACCAGACGCTGTATCGAGGGACGAGTCCGACTGGAGCGAGAGAACCAGAGACAGGTAGAAAGCTCAGGCTTTTGACTCTTTAGTGAGGTGCTTTAAATTATCCTGGAAATAACTTCAGTTGTTTTACTTCAGATATTTGAAAAACAGACGTAATATATCAATTTATCGTCTCTGTGTCCTCCAGGAACGTCTGGTGATGTCCATCCTGCCTCGATTTCTGGTTCTAGAGATGATCGCTGACATGGCCCCCATAGATGAATATCTGCTGCCTCAGCAGTTCCAAAAGATCTACATCCATCACTACAAAGACGTCAGGTAGACAAACGCGTAAGCCGGCCTGGACACACAGACTCAGACGCTAGCTGTTCAAATCTGCTTCTGTTAGCTGATTTTTAAAAATAACGGGCCGAGGATAGAGTCCTGAGGAACCCCACAAGTAATTACTGACATTATCAGTGGGGGGATCATGATGCTGTCAGTCTATTTGATGTGGAAGTAGGTAGCCAGTTGCTAACATCATTATAAGCTTATCACTTTAATGTTGCGCTGGTTTAATAGCTTTATATGCTTCTGGTAGTTTAATATTAAATAATCATAATTGATTAGTTTATGTTTTAATAATCCTAATTAGCAAAATAACGAAATCTGTAAAATAAATGTAGTGGAGTAAATAATAGAATATTTACCTGAAGTATAAATTGGCATAAAATGGAAATACATTTTGTAGCTAACGGTATCGCTAGCAAAATTCTATCTGATATGCTAATACCAGCTAATAATTTAGTTTTTTAATCAACGTTTTTGATGTCTTTCACAGCATTCTGTTTGCGGATATTATCGGCTTCACCTCTTTGTCGCTGATTCTTTCGGCTCAAGAACTCGTTAAAACTCTCAATGAACTCTTTGGTCGCTTCGATAGGCTGGCAGAGGTCATTATATTCTCTCTTTCAACATCATACTCATCCATCAGTTAATGGCTGTTAATAATGACTGTGTGTATTTACACCGTGTTCAGGAGCACCAGTGTCTGCGCATTAAGATCCTGGGGGACTGTTATTATTGTGTCTCTGGAGTACCGGAGCCCCAGAGGGGGCATGCCCGCTGCTGCGTGGAGATGGGTCTCAGTATGATCAACACCATACGGTAAAAATGGCACAGACGCACCTTCGCCTTCGCCACGTGAAGCTCCATAGAGACGCTTACATGTCTCTGTTGCAGTTACGTCCGTCGGGAGTTGCAGCAGGACGTGGACATGAGGATCGGCGTCCATTCGGGTTCGGTCCTCTGCGGTGTTCTGGGTCTTCAGAAGTGGCAGTTTGACATCTGGAGCTGGGACGTGGACATTGCCAACAGCCTGGAGGCCGCAGGAGTGCCGGGGTCAGCCACACACGGTTTTATTGATATAATGCAAGTTAATACAGGACAAGATCCTCAGACAGTCCCATGATGAGTAAACTGTCCCCACTTTACATAAGATTTACTGATTATATGGTTGTTTTCACTTGACATATTTCTAACTTCACCAAAAATGTCCTTCATTCTCAAACAAATGTCCTCCTTTTACAAAATGCTAACACAAAATGTTAATTTTCTTTCTTTGATTTCCAAAAAATGTGTCCTCAGTTTCTTGAAAATGTTTTGACTGTCCTCTCAGGCGGATTCATATCTCGCGGGCCACAATGGACTCTCTCGGCGGGATCTACGAGACGGACGCGGGGCACGGCCAGGAACGCAGCGAGTTTCTAAGGAAACACAACATCGACACCTACCTGATCCGCCCGGCGCCGCGGGAGGAGGCGGAGCCACCGAGAGCGAGGCGTCCAAGTTACGACGAGATGACGACATGGAGCGCCGAGCTGCCATTCGGAGACATCCTGGGAATGAACTTTGTGAGGACAATGAAGCATCTAAAGACGAATGTGAGTTTTTCTAGAGGTATGTTTGGAAGTTTGACCCTTTCTTGTCTCTTGTGGCACTCCGTAGATCCTCGCCACCTTCACGAACGGATCGTTAACTCAGCTGCCCAATCAGATCGCAGCGCAGCGGTCAGGATCGCGGGAGGTCAACAAGAGGATCTGTCAGGCCATGGAGGTCCGGAGCAGCGAGCGGATGAGGAAGGAGCATATCACAACGTTCACTCAGGTGTTCAAGGACTCCAACATGGAGGGAAAGGTAATGACTTCACTTCCTGTAGGGGGCGGTGGCTGTGTTTGAGCTGTCAGGTGACCTTCCTCCCTTTGTCCCTCAGTACTCCCAAATGAGAGACGAACTCTTCAAGTCCAACATGGTGTGTTCGTTCATCCTGCTGCTGCTGCTGATGGCTGTCCAGGCACTGATCCCTGCCCCACGGTACACCTGTCCATCTACCTGTCTACCCTTCTACCTGTCCTTCTACCTGTCCCTCTACCTGTACCTCCACCTGTCCATCTACCTGTCTACCCTTCTACCTGTCCTTCCACCTGTCCTTCCACCTGTCCCTCTACTTGTACCTCTACCTGTCCATCTACCTGTCTACCCTTCTACCTGTCCTTGTACCTGTCTACCTGTCCCTCTATCTGTCCTTCTACCTCCGTCTACCTGTCCTTCTACCTCTGTCTACCTGTCCTTCTACCTCCGTCTACCTGTCCTTCTACCTCTGTCTACCTATCCTTCTACCTCTGTCTACCTGGGTCTCTATCTCCGTCTACCTGTCCTTCTACCTCTGTCTACCTATCCTTCTACCTCTGTCTACCTGGGTCTCTATCTCCGTCTACCTGTCCTTCTACCTCTGTCTACCTGTCCATATACCTGTCTGTCTACCTGTCTGTGTAATATGTATTCAGTAACTGTCCAATATATTGCTCAGATTTTGTCCGATGGCTGCTCAGTTCTTGATCAGCGGCAGCGTTTACTTCCTGCTCCTGCTGCTCACTCTGGGGGAGGAGCTTAAGCGTTGCCCCGCCCCCCTGCAGTCTCTCTGCTGCTGGGTTCACGAAACCAAACCCGCCAGGACGATGCTCACGCTCACCGCCATCGCCGTCAACTTCGGAGTCGCCTCCTCAGACATTGTAAGTTGTTAAAAACATGTCGACCCGAAGGAACCGAGACATGTTGGTTACACTGAGCGTAACGGTTTCAAAGGTTTCTGTTGCTGCTTTAAACATTTTGAGTTATGTTGTTGCTGTTTCCCTTCGTCTCTCCAGCTGTGGTGCGATTCGTCAGACACTCACAACAGCAGCGACTCCCAGCTGGCTCCGCCCACCTCCACCTGGTCGGACATCAACATCTGCACACATCCAGAGGTGAGCGCTAACAAACAAACAAACGTAAACGCTGTTGTGTCTTTTCTATGCGGACGATACATTAATTTAACCGTATGATAACAATTTAACCGTATTCCAGTACATGGTGCTGAGTGGTGTGGTTGCCATGGTTACCTGCGCAGTGTTCCTCAGGTTGAGTTGCGTGTTGAAGCTGGTCGTCCTCCTGCTGGCCGCCGCCCTCTACACCTACCTCATAGAGACGCACAGGTGACCTCATTGGTACACACCTGCCACATAGAGACACAATGCTACATCCAGCATTATTATTATTTTTATTATTATTATTAGTAGTAGTATTTACTCGTATAAATACACCATAACAATTGTGTCTTTCAGGTCTCATCACTTGTGTAAGAAGGGCATTTGCGTCGTTCTCATGGTGATGTTTGTGGTAGCCGTCCTCTACAACAGCAGACACGTGAGTTCTTCTGATTCCTGTTGAGTAAAACTATGAAAAATAATAAAAATACAGAAATTTCATTGTCTGCGTTCTCCTTCGTCGGTAGCTGGAGGCGACGGCGCGGCTGGACTTCCTGTGGCGACTCCAGGCGAGGAAGGAGGTGGAGGACATGAGGGAGCTGAGGGAGCACAACGAGTGTCTGCTGCTCAACATCCTGCCGGCACACGTCGCCCAGCACTTCCTGGACAGAGACCGCCACGACGAGGTACCGCCCACCTGCCACCAACCTGCCGCCAGGTGTGTGTCAGTGCGTGTGCAGGTGTTAACTGTGTGTGTCTGCAGGAGTTGTACTCGCAGTCGTACGAGCGAGTCGGCGTCCTCTTCGCCTCCCTGCCGGGTTTCTCTGACTTCTACGAGCAGAAGGAGGTCGTTCATCAGCCCGTTGAATGTCTCCGCCTCCTCAACCACATCATCACCGACTTCGATGAGGTCACACACACACACAAATGATCTGTCAATCAACTTATCAATTATTAATATATAGAGTCACATCGTAAGTTAGCTAATGTTAGCATAACATTGTTAGCAAAACACTAACTAACTAATGATTGATTCCAATTAGCTAGCGCTTTGCTAACATTATCTAACTTACGATGTGTGTATATGTCTCTTTTATCTTCAAAATAACTTTTCAACATAGATTCGCTCAGCACTTGGCATATGTAAGTACAGGAGAGGACAGATTTGGACTCATTTCTGGACTAATAAATGAAATGTTTGTAATAAATAATATAATCATTTCTCTCTCTGTGCAGCTGCTGGATGAATGTTACTTCCAGGAAGTGGAGAAGATTAAAACCATCGGCAGTTCGTATATGGCAGCTTCTGGTCTCTCTCCTGACAGACAGGTCAGAATCAAACCAAAGTATTTTTAAAGTTTTTCTTTAGATATTTTAATCATTATCCACATTACAACAATGAAACTATTTATTAGTTATTAAAAGTCTTATTAGTTTGTTGTTGTTTTTTTTTATGTTCTGTATTTATATTCAACATATATTTTTCTTTTATTTTAACCATTTTTCACACAATATTTTCCAGTTCTACACTTTTTGTTTAGGTTTTCTTTCACAAGAAAAATATAAATATAAAACTGGAGTCAGTCTCTCCCCATCAAAGAGCTTCTTTGTACCTGGACAGGTGCAGTTTTTAGAAATGGCTCCACCTACTGGACACTTTCGACCTTCCGTAGAACAGGATGACATATAATGCCACCAAATAATTTCCCTCTGCTCTCTACCTTCCTGGTGTCCAGGAGTGCGAGGATGGCTGGCATCACCTCAGCGTGTTGGTGCTGTTCGCTCTCGCCATGCAGGAAACGCTCAAACACATCAACACGCACACAGGAAACAGCTTCCAGCTGCGAGTCGGTGCGTACGCCATATATTCAAAGTATTGTTTCTTCTTCTTAAATGTTTGTCATCGTGACCTCTGACCTCCTCTGCAGGTATCGCTCATGGGCCGGTGATTGCCGGCGTGATCGGCGCCACCAAACCTCAGTACGACATCTGGGGGACGACGGTGAACATGGCGAGCCGGATGGAGAGCACCGGCATCAGCGGGAGGATCCAGGTGAGGACGCCTGTCTGCAGGTGAGTCTGTATGTCCGTATGTTAGTGATGTAACTCCGCCCCCCCATCAGGTCCCAGAGTCCACCAGCTGCATCCTGGTGGAGCGAGGCTTCCTACGGCAGCTCAGAGGGAACATTTACCTCAAAGGCATCAGTGAACGCCACGGAAAGGTGAGATCATCAGGTGTTAGTGACAAAATAATGAGATTAACAATAAATAAAAACCTCTGCAAAGACACAAATATAAAGTATTTTAAAATATAAGTGTTTTATGTTGTATTTTTAAAGTATTTTAAAGCCTTTTAAAAGTGTTTTCGTCATATTCAAGTCATTTGAACTATTTTTAGTATTTTAAGTTACTTTAAATATTATTAAGATTAATTCATATAATTATAAAAAATATATTAAAGTATTTTATAGTGCAATTTTACTTTTAATCAGTATTTTAAAAGTTTTTATTCGTAGCATTCGAGGACAAACAAACAGTCGGTATCATGTTTGTTTGTTCACTTCAGGTTCGTACGTTTTTCGTGAGCAGTCGCGAGGAGCGGTCCAGTTTCACGGAGCGCGGCGGTGGGCGGGGCTTCAGTCTGAACAGGAACACGCTGGGAGCTGTGGTCTACAGTCTGGTTCAGGCCCGGAAGAGGGAGAAACGGATGGAGGAGAACGGAGGGTTCCACCTGGTGGAGGCGTCGTAGGAGGAGGCCAGGTGTCAGCCTCCTATCAGAATGTCCTCTTCCGTGGTTTGGATTCAAAAAACAAGAAAGCTTTATTTAAAATCTAGAAGAAGTTTCCCGACTGCATATGCTTCAAAAGAGAAATTTAATTTTAGTGGATGTGGTCTTGCAGCCAGTGAACGGCAGCGGCGTCTGTAGGCCGTAGATTTAATACACCCACGAACTGACGCAGCTATCACTTTGGACTCCTGGACCATGAACATGTGACTTCAATCAAATCTTTAAATTCAGCCTCAGAGAGTCTATTGATTACCGATATTGATTACCAGTAAGGTTTTGTTTACTTTCCTCTCTTTGACAAATGTTTTCTAACGTATTATAAAATCCAATAAAGGTGCAAACAGCTCATTTTTCTGTTTGTTTGACTTTCTGTTTCATTTCTTCCCAGCAGCACTTTTTGAGTTTCATGTTTACAAAAGTTCCTAAAATATGAATTTTAAAATGATAAAAACTTTATTGTTCAACGATGTTCCTCAAATAAAAGGTTTCCTTAAAAAAGTGTAGAGCAAAGTGCATGAAATAGAAATTTAAATACAAAATTACTAAATGAAAGTAGTTTATTACCTTATGTTGTAATATTCCATAAAATTGACGTCGTCACTGAAATTGAGTAATTTTCTATGATAAATCCAGTTTTTAGCTTTAATTGTACATAAAATCTTGTGTTGCAGTTACAGATTTTTCACATTATTTTATATTAGACATGTAAATTCACAGGATGTTTTTATAATTGTATTAATTTTTGTAATCTGTAAATCAGTGGGATCTTCTTCACTGTCACATGCTGGGGCAGTGGGCTGAGGGTCGCAGACAACAACAGACTAAACAAACTGATCAGGAGGGCCGGTGATGTCGTGGGGGAGGAGCTGGACACCCTGACGACCGTGGCAGAGAGGAGGATGCTGTCCAGGCTTCAGTCCATCTTGAACAATGTCTCTCACCCTCTCTACGACACACTGGCCCAGCAGAGGAGCACCTTCAGCAGAAGACTCCTCTCACCCAGATGCACCACAGAGCGCCACAGGAAATCATTCCTGCCTGTGGTCATTAAACGCCTCCTGTACTCTGATTGAATCCTAACATTATTAAACTGTACAGTTTACCTTTTATATATGATTCTGATTCCGATTCTGATAAACAGGAAGAACCCCGTAAACTCACTGATTTTCTAACCTTTTTAGAAATAATTTAAATAATTGAGAAACTAGACCTTAAAATTAACATTTAAATGTCCTTAAAATGTTCTTTCAATGTTTAAAATATTCCAGGTTATCACCAACAGATGAGCTGAGGGAGCTCTGTGCACTCAGAGACAGCGATTGAATCAATCAAAGAGTTCAACAGTAAAACTAAAACCTCTCAGTATGGGAGCTTGATCAGCTGCTCACTGTGTGTTTTTATGTTAATAACTAATCACAGAGGCTGATAAAGTCCGTCAGCTGCTGCTGCTTTTATTTTCTCACAGTCTGCTTTCATCTTTAGACCCCTGAAACCTTAAAAAACACATTGAATGAACCTCCAGGAGAACAGGAGCTTCTGCTCTTGTAAGACAACTTGTTTGTTTCGTTAGAAATTTCGATTTTTAATGCAAACATTATCATTTCCACACGAATCCTCAGTCATATTGAGATATCTGTGTAAATAAAATGATGTTTTTAACTAAAAAAAAAGCTTTCCATCAATAAAGTCACATTTTGGTGTTTCTGCTCTGATTCTTTTTTATTTACCTTAAACTCTCCTGCTTTCATCCAGAACTGATCTTTAGAGATACAGACTCATTATTTTGGTAAAGTTTCTCTTTATAATAACTTACAGAATCCTTTTTCCTGTCACATTGGCACAAATGAGCTTCCATAGATCTGTGAGGACAAATCAAATCGATTTAGTGCCAGAAATCACATGAATGACTGAGTGACCCGACACTAATGGCGAGTACGAGAGTGAAATCCTTCAGTTTCATTCTCCACTGTTACACAAACTCACCTCACTTGTTTGTATTATTTACAGGAAGTATATTTATTATTATTTAAAAATATGAAACCAGGAGGTAGAAACACGACCATGTTTATCCACAGGGGGCGCCAGAATCAACACACAATGAAAGCCCCTATAGTGCTTTTATTTTATTAACATTTTATTAAATTAACCTTTATTTTAGTGAATTACACTGTAAAGAAAGTACATATATACTATATATATATATATATATATATATATTTATACTAATATATATAATGATATATATTTACTAATACAAACTAATACAATCGAATACAAAATCTGTAACTAAATAATCATAAAATTATAAATTTATAAATTATACATAAATCAAACAGTTAATTACTAGTTTTATACTGTTAATAAGTTTCTAAAATGATATAAAATCAGTGACATTAACAGTAAAGTATTAGTTGTGTAATTTTAATGTATTAGTGAACTGACAGATATGTTGTATAATGATGGAAGTAGAATAAATGTTGTTTATCAGTGTATAAGGTAAACTGTCCAAATACAGTTGTTATCAGTGTAAACAGCAATAATTACTGTAATCTCATCTGTAAATTAAACATTTTATGTCAAATTAAATCTTAAAACTGTATTTTACTAAATGAATTAAATGTTATTAATGTTGTTAATTAATGTTAATATAAGTTCTGTTCGGCATTAAACTGCAGACTCATGAAGGAAAACGCTACGTCACGCAAACGTCACTGCAGAGCTGCTAGTGTACTGGGTGACCTTTGACCTCCTGACTGTGATTAATTTGCCTAAAGGGTGCAATCAGTGTGCTTTATCTGGGGTTGTTCATCAGGATTGTGCTCATTAATAACTGGTGTTTAAGGGGGAATTCCGAGTGATTTCGGTTCACGTGAATGCACCACCAGGTTCGGCCTCAGATTGGTTCTGGATCGGAGTGGGGGGGGGGCAGGTTCAGACTCCAGGTCCGACAAGGACACGCCTCCCAGCGGAGGAGTGAGCCCGTGTGCAGCGACAGTCCGGACCATTAGGACACCGTGAGGAGGACGCAGAGGACCGACAGCATGAGGAAGATAAACGTTACCGTGGCCGAGACCGAGACCGGGTCCGGGTCCGGGTCTGACGAACTCGTCTTCTTCGTTAACGGGAAGAAGGTAAAAAAAGAACCGCTTTTTAATTCAAATGAGAGAGATTTTAAATGGAGTTCTTCCTTTATTTTATATTTTATGTGTTTATGTTGAGTGTTAAAATACTGGAATCTATACAATATATAATAATAACTATATTATATAATAATAACATTAACACAATATTACAATTTTATAATGCTCCAATAATATCTTATATATATCTTATAATTCCTACACACAAGTGATTATTGTACCTATATATTATTGATATACTTACAGAACCTATAATAGACTTTGTATATATAAATATATATATTACATGATATAGAGAAATATAATATATATATATATTCATTATGTAAATTAAGATAATATATATGTATGTATGTAATATTATATTATAATATATTATATTATGTACAGACTATTTTTCTGATTATTAAAATAATCCATTAACAGTAAAAAATGGTTAATAAACCAACAATGTTGCTGATTGCTTTTCTGTTAATATATATAATTTCCCCCGTCCCCTAAAGAAAATAATGGACTCCCAGGTGTCCCCAGAGACAGTAATCGAGGGATAATGGTTGATCCTTCTGTTTGTGCTGCAGATTGTTGAGAGGAACGCGGACCCTGAGATGACTCTGCTGACGTATCTGAGGAGGAAATGTAGGTGCTCACACACACACACACACACACACACACACACACACACACATACAAACAGTCAGTCTCACTGGTCCGTTCTGTTCTGTTTGAAACTGTTCTGATCGAGTGATACATCAGTTTTCCTGTTTCACAACTTTATATCCCCACTCCAGAGCTTTCACTTCTTATTTTATCATCCTGTCCTCGCTCACTGTACAGTCTGGTTGTTGGTGGACGATCATCTGAACATTAGTCAGATTTCCAGATTGACAGAAATCCTCTGACACAATCCATAAAGCAAACCCAACGTACTAAAACCTGTTCAGCTGTAAGTCAGAAAGCTACGACTGATGTTTCCGGTCTTTATGCAAGTGTTTTATGATCCTGAGGTTGGTTTATTGGTTCCCTTCCAAGCAGAATGAGGTCAGTGACCGTCTCTGAGACAACAATCAGCAGGTCAAAGTCAGAATAAAGTTTACATCCTGGAACAGCTGGAAAGAGATCTGGCTTTAATTTGACATCAGAGCTGGACAGTAGGCAGGACCAGTACGAACTGTGTAACAGGGTTTTGAAGCACCTGGAGAGTCCTTGAGGAAGTTGGAGAAGTTTTTAGGACTTGCTGATGAAGGCCTAGGGCCCCTAAAACGGGTTACATGGGTCCTACAAACCTCTTTGAGGACTCCTGGAACCATCTCAGAGACCCTCTGACCAATGGGACCTCCTCAAGGACTAACATCTCTACGAGGACAGGCTCCCAGGTGTTCACATAGAGTCCAGTATTGTCTGAATCGAGGACTCCTGCTATGGTCATGGACTCATTTACAGTAAGAACAGTCAGTTTAGTCTTTAACGGCCTGGAGGTCAGAGTGTGTCTTCCACAGCGTGACTGGACTCTGAGGACGATCACGCGTCACCATCAATGATTCAGTGAATCCACTGTAAACTGTGTGTGTGTGTGTGTTCAGTGGGTTTAACAGGAACCAAGCTGGGCTGTGCTGAGGGCGGCTGTGGAGCCTGCACCGTCATGGTCTCCAGATACCAAACACACACTCAACAGCTGCTGTATCCTTAAACAGTGTGTGTGTGTGTGTGTGTGTGTGTGTGTGTGTGCGTGCTGATAAGGCGTCCCGTCATGTGCTTCCATCTGAAACCTTTCAATGATGACAAACTGATTTCACAGCGAGCAGATTAACAGTCTTTAACTCTGGTCCAGTCACTACGCCGTCAACGCCTGCCTCGCCCCCCTCTGCTCCCTACACCTGGTCGCTGTGACAACCGTGGAGGGTATCGGCAGCGTGGCAAGAAAATTACATCCTGTGCAGGTAAGACACACATTGAACTTGTACGTACGTACTGCTGCTGGGTCCTCCACTTCTTGACGCTTTAGGGATCCTTGTGGCGTCGTTTAATTTCTTTTTCAAAGGGATCAACTGACCTCTGCACAACAAGCTGACAATTATTTCAGTAGCTTCAGTAGTAACTTATGATTCATTGTTGATTAACGCAGCTTTAAGGTTATGAATCTTCAGTGTGTTTTAACAAGTTTTACAACAGAATCTTTTAAATGTTTCAGGAGCGAATAGCGAGGGCTCACGGCTCTCAGTGCGGGTTCTGTACTCCAGGGATCGTCATGTCCATGTACGCCCTGCTGAGGAACAACCCCACACCCAAAATGGCCGACGTGGAGGAGGCTTTCCAAGGTACTGTCAGAGACCGCTTAGCATTGTTAAATGTAGTTATTAGTAGCTAGAACTGCCCTTAAATTACATTTAAAATGTTTCTGATCTACACTGACAGCACTATGGAAATCATATTTTTTGCAGGAAATCTGTGTCGTTGCACTGGATACAGACCGATACTGGAGGGGTACAAAACTTTCACTGTGGTGAGACACAAACACAGTCGGTGTGTTTCCAAGCACACAATAAATCACTGACATGTTTACCTGTAACACCAGCTTTTGAGCCACAAGTGTGATTCATTCATACATTATTTGTTCCTCCAGGAGGGGGGGTGCTGTGGCGGCAAGGGGCGGGAGAACGGCTGCTGTATGGCCAATGGGAACGGAGCTGAGAAAAGCTCAGAGGAAGACACTAATGTAAGTCTAAAGTGTTATTTTATACAAACCGATTTCAAACCAACATGTTTCTGACTGTAAACTGTGTGTTTTTGAGCAGGAAGCCACGCCGCTGTTCACCGCAACCGACTTTGCGCCCTTTGACCCCACGCAGGAGGTCATCTTCCCTCCAGAGCTCATGGTAAACACACACACACCGAAACACAAACACTCGTTATCAAGTGGCAGATTTTAAACTTTTTACGTTGTTAAATTAAGTGAACTCGAACTTATCGCCATATAAACCAGGATATCATCGGCATATAAACGTATATAGTGTATATATAATTTATATATTTCTGAGTCATGACTGAACACATGACACGTATTTTTAGATTCAGTGCGATTTTCACTTCCTTTTAAAGTCCCCATGAAACTTATATTTACTGTTACTTTAGTGTAAAGTAACCCAGCAAACAGGAGCTGATAACAGCTAATTCTGCATAATTTAATGGTGGTACATACTTCCTGTTTATACCCCCAAAGAGTTATGGGAGCTGTAGTTGCAAGATTTTCAGCATTTTCTTTCCCCAAACAGAAGACAAAGAACAACAACAAACAATGTAAATGCTGTCATTTTGTTCTCTCTCCTTCTTCCTATCTAGTCTCTCACCAAAGGTCAAAGGTCGGGCTCGCTGTGTTTCCGTGGCGACAGGGCGGTGTGGCTGCAGCCCGACAGCCTGGACGAGTTTCTGCGTCTGAAATGGGAACATCCAGACGCCCGAGTGGTGGTGG